GGGTTTAGGGTTTCGGGTTTAGGGTTTAGGGGTTAGGGTTTAGGGTTTTAGAGATTAGGATAAAGGGGTTTAAGGTTTTAGGGTTTAGGGTTTAGGGTTTAGGGTTTAGGGATTAGGGTTTGAGGGTTTAGGGTTTAGGGTTTATAGGGTTTAGGGTTTAGGGTTTAAGGTTCCAGTTCCGTAAGGCTTCCATAAGCCATAGACCAGAAGCTTCTATAAAGATTCCATAAGAGCATCAGAGGTTAAGGATTGTGGAAGGGACTACGACTACAGGCTTTATGCATTGTGTTTTACGTCGTGTTTGAGTCCAAACTCCTGCTACCTGAAGATCCCATGACATTCTGAAGCATTATGAGACCTTGAACCACCCAAAAGTCCTTGTCAGGTAGGGGTTTATACAAATTCTACATCAGGGTGTGTAATAAGAGCCTGAAACTGGCAGGTCATGGTAGTTTGAGGTAGCTTATTGAGCTCTCAATTGCAGGACAATTATTGGGGCCCTGGGCCTCAGTACTGAGAGTGGAGAATGGGGGGCTTCTTCGGGGGTTCAGGGTTGAAGGGGAGCTTTACACGATTTGCATAAGTGTCTCGATGGGTGCAACTAGCTGTTTTTTGTTGTTGCGGGGGCTCTAGATGAAGTAGACCCGGATTTTATGAGCCTCTCTTACTTCTTGAGTCACCTTCATTGAAGTAAGGGCCTCGTTACCCGCTTATAGGCCTTGCCACAGTCCTTGGCATTACCGCTGCTGCATGAATACATCGAGCACACCCAAAGATCTGAGATCCCTCAATCCAAAGATTTAGGGTGTAGGGTTTAGGGTTTAGGGCTTAGGTTAAAACCAAAACCCTACACAGCGTAAACCGTTAAACCATTTAAGCACCAAAACCCCTGAACCCCTGCAACTACAACCCCCAAAAATCCCTAACCCCCCCCCACTTAATCTAACAAGATCCCTCGACTCCTGCCTGGACTACAACTTGACTACAACCCCAAAATCCCAAGACCCCCCCACCTAATTTAACAAAGCCCGCTCCACAGAAACGATCTTTTTGAGGTCATAGCCATTGGTTTTCTGCGGATCTTCTAACAGAGAAGGTGGCCCGAAACTCTATGTACCTCTCAAAGCGCCTAAACGCTCAAACCGAAGAAATGAATCCCCAAACCCTACGCCCGAAACCCTAAACCCTAAACCCCTAAACCCCTAAACCCTACACCCGAAGCCCACTTCATGACTCTCCGCTGTTCGAAGGACCCTGAGACTGACCTGAAGCTCATCAACGCCAGCTACGATGCGGACTACCTGGCCTACATGATGAAGTGACCTGTCCCTAAACCCTAAATCCTAAACCCTAAACCCTAATTTCTGGGAAACTCTGTCGAAGTGTGTTTTTGTTTAGGATTTTGGGGTTCAGGACCTTAAAGGTTTTGGTGTTTAGGGTTTAGACGAGCGCGAAGACGAGAAGGTCGATGTTTAGAAAAGTGTGCAAGGTTGGGGAGTTCGGGTTTAGGGTTTATGGCTTTTGGATTTAACGGTGTTGGGTTCAGGGTTAAGGGGTTTGTGTTCACTTAAGCCTCGCATGAGCCCGAAGCCCCAAGCCTCAAACCCTTCTTGGGCTTCTACTGCCCACTGAAGTGGTTTGGTTTTTGATCTGTAACAGCCTACAGTGACTTTAGGTCTTAGAGGGGTTATCCCTTCCCCAAATATTGATGATCAGGTGCCTTGGACCCTTAAGCCCCTGTAACAGCCTTGGAAAACCCGGATACTTTGAACCCCTTATGAGAAAGGCGCGCCTTAGCTGGATCTTTCGCATCCACGTGACACAGAGGCCTTACGCCACCGGCCTTTAGAGTGCAGCAAGTTTGCCGGCATCCGTGCTCAGCTCCGGGATGCAAATTCCATGCCATGTGGATGGTGGTGTGCACAGCAGTGCAGTACTGAATGTTACGCTTCGGCGAGACACCTCTTCGCAGAGTGCCCTGTCCGGAACCCTATCAGGTCACGACTTGAGGGGGCCCACCAAGTGCCTTCCAACTGGCGGAGGGCGCAGCCGAGAATCACTTCAACGAGCGCTTGGGTGACAACCACTTCTGGTTGCAACCCACGGCAGGGAGTCAACAGGCTCATTGCTGCATGCAAGTTGGCAATCGCCATCACAGCCCTTTGTGCCCCAAAGTAAGCTAGGGTTTAGGCCCTTCTTTTGGCTTAGGCTCCCAGCTGTCTGAACCCTGCCGCACGTACCTTTACCCTTACATTTTAGTTCAGTCCCCTCCCGGTGTTTTGCCTGGCTGGTGACTGCAAGTTCTTCCGTTTTCGGTTTGGTTTCGTCCTTCCCTAACTCTTGTTGCGCTTAGACGCGAATTCCAGGCTGCATCCATCGATGTGTCTGACCTGAACCTTTCCAGGCTTCCTTTAGGGTTTGTTGCTTGCGTTTTCCTAGGGTTCATCGATTTCTTATTTTCTTAGTAACACTTGCCTTTGCTCCACTGTGAGTACGCACGGAGCGGCATGCCCTCTCGCCGAAAATCTTGGGCCTTAAGCCTTAACCCTTACCGGCATCGCGAGCAACGCCGCTTTGCTGGTCTGCCAGGTTGGTACCATGTGCAATATGATGACCAGGTACGACACCATCCATGGCAAGTACGATGGAACTGTGGAGGTTGATGGCGACTCCCTGGTCATCGACGGCACGAAGGCTCCGCACAGACGGGATCCAGTAGTTATTATGGACTGACTAGTTAATGTAATATCCCTTGCTCGTCATAGTCCATGCCGAGATTCATTTTCCCCAAAACTCAATGCCCGAAACGTAAGACCCTCAACCGACGTCAACACATTACGTTTGAGGGTTCCGGGTTCTGGGGCGGTAAACCCTAGTTGAAAGGTGTAAGGCTTAGGGCTAAATGTGCTTGCGCTGAAGCAATCAGTCTCTACTGTTCGACATAAGGCCCCGACAAATCCATACACCCAAGACTGAAACAACAAAAACACGTTCCTGATGTAATTCCGTTGGGTTTTGATTCGAGTAAAATCGATTCATGTGCAAACCCCCCATGCCTTAAAGCCCAAACTCCTGGCAGCCAGAAGCCCTCTCTTATCAAACCCTCACGCAGGGACGCAACTGGCCCGATAAAAGCGAACACATCTCGCAAACTAAATTACATATAACATCATACAGCCCTATGTATAACTACCCGTGAACCCCAGGGCAAACTGACAAAGGGTCTGTGAGACCGTTTTGCTTGGGCTTGAAAGCCGAAAACCAAGACCCTAGAGCCTTAAGCTCCTGAGCCCTAAACCCCGATACAGCCCTTCTACAACCCTATAACCCTATGAAGACTCTTTCGACCACTTCTGGAAGTCTAACACTTCAAAACACAAAAACCCCACAACCCCCGAACCCGTAAACCATAAGCCGCCATAAACCCTAAACAGAACTCAAACTCTACAACCTAACCCCCAAACCTCACACCCAAAGCCTAGACGACCACAACCCTGAAATATCACCAGCCTGGCAACCCGAGAGAACCTACCTTTTCTAGGACGTATGTAAGGAAACCATAATAAGGAGCCCTACAAGTGACAGGTTATTCAGTTAAGGTTCAGGAAGGCCTGGAAGCCGCACCTAGACACCGAAAGCCAACATTTGGATAGATCCCTTCTAACACCAGTGACAAACTGCTCGGAACTTATATGAATCCCTAAACCGCGAAACTCTAAACCCTGAATCCCCGAGATTCTAAGATTCTAGATCAGCAATTCCTTAAACATCCTTAAACCCTTAACTTCTAACCTCCTAAACCCTAAATCTTCGATCGGCCTTCAGACAACTCCCTCAAGGTGGCCCTGTCTCACACCCGAGATCCCGCGGAGATTCCTTTCGGGGAGACCTTTGGCTAGATGGATTAGACGATTGCAGGGTTTCTGTTCTACATAGGGTTCGGATTCCTTAGGGTGTATACAGGGGGGGGGGGGTTGTTGTGGAGTTTCAAGGTGTTTTTTGTATATTTGCTAGTTTCTATTTTTGTATGGTTTATAGGGTTAAAGATTTCTGCAAGAGTTCGGGTTTCAAGGTCTACCAGGGCCGCCGGCTGCTTCGTTCATATATGATTTTTAAGGTTCAGGAACGATTCCAAAATATGAATGGCATTTGCAGGATTTGATGGTTTAGTTTAATTAAGAATTCGGGTGCTGGGGTGCAGTATATACAGCTGTTTGTTTTACTGCGCTTGTCACGGTATTGATTAGCAATGATTCCAACACCTATATTGACATTGTGGGGTTTGAGGTTTAGGGGGGCGTTGATGTTCAGCCTATTGGTGTTTAGGCAGGTGGAGGTGTTGGGTTGTAGGGTTTAGGGTTCAGGGTTGCAGGGTGCAGGCTGCAGAATCTACGTTAGTTCTGGGTTTTCAATATGGACTTCTTCTCAGTGATATTCGAACATGAACTCGAGACTCGAGCGTTCTTGAAAATGCAGGGTGCTCTCACGTTCATGGGCCAAAAAGGTTTCTGACCAAGGCAGCAGGACTTTTGGTGCTGAAGTCAAGATCTCACCAAAGCACGCCCTCAAATCCTCAAGCCTCGACCCCATATTTAGCCTAAACCCGACACTCCAAACCGAAAAAAAAAACTCCAAACCGAAAGAGCCAAGCCCCCCCCAACGCCCGCAGAAACCCTCAAAGCCAGAAAGCCCCAACTCTGAAGCCCTAAACCCTAAACCGCGGGGAAAACCCTGAAATCCCTAAACCTGGGTCTAGGGCCGAAATTTTTAGCAGGTTTGGGGCCTAAGGTTTAGGGTTTAGGCTCGAAACTCTAGGGTTTTGGGCCGAGACTCAACAGGTGTAGGGCTGTAAACCCCACATCCTAAGCCGTGGCTCAAAGAGGTAAGTCGGGGTTAGCGTTTCTTATTGCGGTGTTATGAATTCTACTATAAAGCTTCTAGGGGCTCTAGGAAAAAAAGGTTTTTGTTCTGGTAGTTCGAGGGTTTAGGGTGATCTCAAAACCCTAAACCCTAAACCCAAAACCCTAAACCCAAAACCCTAAACCCCAAACCCCAAAGGCATGGCGCCGATTACGTTTGCGAGTCCACTGGCGTGTTCCTGACCACCGAGAAGGCGCCTTTGGGCCAGACGTCCCAAAGCATGAACTCTTGGGCTTTGGGGTGTAGGAATTAGGGCTTTAGGGTTTAAGGTTTAGGGTGTTAGGGGTTTGGGGTGAGTATTTAGGGCTCTAGGGTTTTAGGGTTTTGAAAGTGTTTAGGGTTTTAGGGTTGAGGGTTGAGGGTTTAGGGTTTTAGGGTAAAGGGTTGAGAGGAACACCCGGAGTCTCGTTTTTCTTTTTTGTTGTTGGGGGGTGTCCCCTCTCTCATTTGTCTGGTGTTATGGAGTGTGTAAGACCTCAATAGAGGCTTGTTTTGCTAACTGGGTGGGTCTCTTGCAGCTTACTCTATAACGGCTTTGTTTGACCTTGTGGGTAAGGCTTCATTGGTTTAGGGTTCAGGACCATTTTAGCGCATGGTCAAAGGCAGGATTTGGCGTATGTAAGATTACATGGGGATGACAACGGGACGTTGCGCTAATGATTCGGACCTGCACATTTTTCCTGCATGCCATCCTCAACCCGTAAAAATCCTAGGTAGTATTGGGGAGACCCCTTAAAGTGGACCCTGCTTGACCCTACTTATGGCTCTCTTAGAAGGGACCTTACTGACAGCTCTACATCCTCAAGGGTCCCCCTAATCCTGACTCCTAAAAGACCTGTGTCTCTCACGCCAACAAGAGCGGCATAATTATTGATATCAGCTCGTGCACTCGCACTCGAAGACTTTGCGGAAATGATCCTGTGCCGAGGCCAGGAGAAATGCAATCCCTGCCTGAAGGATCGGGTTATGCCTGAATCTACCCATAGGCTCCTTAGTAGTTCCTGTTTGTGGTTGGTATTTAGGATCCTATAAGGTAATCCCGAAAAGGAACTACTAAGGAGCCTACAGGTAGATGCGTTTGGTATTGTATGGGGGGTTGCGGTGGTTTTGCACGTATTTTTTGCTACGGGGGCTCTAGGCTAAGGCATCATAGAGCATCAAGAACCAAGATTCAAAAGCCTAAGCCCCAAGGGAAGCCACCTACAAGTTCCCTATCAAAGAAAGGCCCAACTCTTCCTAAGCCTCAATGCCTGTATAAACCCTACCTATAGTCTCCATTGTAGTTCCTTTCTTTGGATTTGCCAAGTTTATATTAAGGATCCCAAAAGGTAACCCCCAGAAAGGAACTACAATGGGGACTATAGGTAAGGCCTAACCCCTAAACCATAAACCCCTAAAGCCCTAAATCCTAAACCCCTAAAGCCCCAAACCCTAAACCCCTAAAGCCCTAAACCCTAAACCCCTCAAGCCCTAAGCCCTATAAGCCCTAAACTCCTAAACCCCTAAAACCCTAAACCCCTAAAGCCCTAAACCGTGTAAACCCTGTAAGCCCTAAACCCAAGTCTGCCAGGTGCAGCCGCACCTGAAGGCTGGTGCCAAGAAGGTGATCTTCTCTGCCCCTGCCAAGGTCGGGTTTAGGATTTAGGGTTTAGAGTTTAGGTTTTTAGGGTTTCAGGATTTTTGCTCCGGCTTTTCGGCGGCCATTGCGAGCTCTAGGCCAGCGGGGTTTTGGGCTGTTTCAGAATCCATATCGGGATTTGATAGCGGGTTAAAGTATTTCTGGACGCTCCCGGTGGTAGTTAGGACCATAGCTGGGCTTCTGTCGGGTTTCATTGCGGGAGTCTAAAGGTAGATTGCCTGGCTGCGTGTTTGAGCTCGGTTTTGATTGGGGGGCGGGGGGGGGGGGTTATGAGTTTAGAGGGGTTCAATTTGATGACGCTTTGTTGGGGGTGCTTTTCCACCGTTCCCCCCAATGCCTGGCGGCAGGATGACTCTCACACTGTCGTCATGGGCGTGAACGAGGACTCTTAAAGCGGCCAAGTTTGTACTTTTGTGTGTTGTCTTCGTGTTGCCGAGGCTAGGAAACGCAAATGACACGAAAGACGGTGATTACCTGTTCTCCGCTTGGAACCCCAGTAGCCCTCAACCCGAGACCCCTACTTATGTTAATATGGCTAGTTCTGTAAAGTAGCGTCCCTGTTTAGGCCCCCAATGTAGTATGGCACCCTTCTAAAAGAGGACGCTACAAGGGACCCTAATTTAGAGAACTACCCGTAGAACCCGAGTGGGATCCTTCTAGAACCTTCACAGAACCCTAAGCGCAGGACACCTACGACCCTTCCATGGAGTGCGTCTCCTGCGCCAGCTGCACCACCAACGGCCTTGCGCCTGCTGTCCGAGTGCTGCATGAGAAGCATCCAGGCGGAAAAACGAAACCTATAATGATTGGCTTGGGCTCGTAATTAGGTTCCCCTGCCCTGTAATACCCTTTTGCGCCATTGTTCTTTCGGGTTCCCTCATTAATGCCAAGTAGTAGGAAAAAGCTTGCCTTCTTATTCAGGGGCCACTGGGGAACCTACCCATAGGCTCCATTGTAGTTCCTTTTTGTGGCTGGTATTTAGGATCCTATAGGGTCATCCCACAAAGGAACTACTAAGGAGCCTATGGGTAGTTAGAGTGTCAAGCCGGTGAAGGTTTCAGGATTTGTCTCTATGGGGGCCTCTACGAGTCCGACAACTCAAGTCTGCCGGCGTGATCCTTGAACAGCCATCAATCCCAGATTACATTGAATCGCTAAACCCGGCAACCCTAAACCCTAAATCCTAAACGCCTCAACCCTAAACGCCTAAACCCTAAACCCTACCCCACTCCCTAAACCTCCGACGCCGTAACGTCCTTTCGGAAGCGTCATCAGAGCCCGCCTCTCTAAGTACTAGGGCACTTAGACCACCCTTTAACCCATACAATATTCTCAAATTCTACGAAACCCCAAACCCTATAAATCCTAAACCCTATAAATCCTAGACCCTATCCCCCTAAACACCCCAAACCCTTTGCACCCTAAAGCCGAGATTAGTTAGGAAGTGACCCCCAAAAGTACCGCAAAAGCCCAAGGCCGCCAACTCCTCAAGGTTCGGATATCTTGAAAACCACTTCCTGTGCTAAACCCTAAAACATACTTTATAAACCCTAAACTTTATTAACCCCCTATAGTTTAGGGTTTAGTGTTTAGTGCTTTGGGTTTAGGGTTTAGGGGTTTAGGGTTAATCTCCTAAACCCCTAGTACTCTTTGAGGTTCGGCATCAAGCGTGGTCTGATGACCACCTGCCACGCCATGACGGCCTCCCAGCCCACCGTGGACGGCACCTCCAAGAAGGACTTCGGAAGGGCAGTTGGGGTTTAGGATTTTTTCTAGGGTTTTAGGATTTTTTGGGGGGTTTCTCTCAAGAAGGACCGGCCAAGGGGCTCCACAAGGCGAATTTAGGGACCCGAACAATTAGAATATGGGTAGTTCTCTACATTAGGGTGTGCAGACAGATAATACTACATGTATATGTGTATGTATATGTATATGTATATGTATATGTATATATATATACATATATATATATGTATATATATATACACGTATATATTCACATACATACACATGTGTATGTAATACGCACACACACACACATATATATATATATTCATGTACATATATAGTTACCTCTACATCTATATATACAAACACATGTGTGTATGTATATGTATGTGTATGTATTTTCATTTTCATTTCGAGGCATTCAGAGGAGTACGCAGCTCTAATTACATGCTTTGCCCCTGAGCGCTGCAAAAGGTGCAGCCAGGGGATGTTCCCAGAAGCTCCTCGGGGCTGTGATCCTCGAAACTGTGCCCTGGGTCACACGCCTCCAAACTGTACTGAGCTTAGGGGGAACGAAACAAAGAGGGTCATCTACCGCGGTCGGAGCATCAACAACACCACTGGAAAATTCCTCTCCGTCTTCCCAAGAAATCTCCAGGACTTCAGGTGCAGTCTCAGGGGTCACGCGGTCTGACAAAAACCCTCGAACAATCGCATCCCATTGAACCTTCGCAAGCTCCACCGAGAAGTCCTGCAAAGTACCGCTGTAGTCGCCGCCATCAGTCGTAGGTGCTCTCGGGACCGTAGGAGCCTCATCCAATCCTCGCAGAACAACCTCGATGGACCCACCGTCCCAGAGTAGCTGTGGGTCTGAGCCTAGCAATTCCCGGACTTCACCAGCAATGTAGGAACAGACATCATGCTCCTCAGCAGCATACAATGGGATGGCAGCAAAGACTTCAATGATTGCAGAGACCAGGTCGTCAACAACCGACCAGGAGGGAGCCTCGAACAGCAAACCACAAATCGCTCGGTAGGCCTTCTCAGCCTCATCGCTCCAGCGGTGGCCCGAACCGTCGCCCTTGGGCTCTACTACCTTTGCCGTCGGCGCAGGAGTATACTGCTCCGTCTCAAGCCTCCTCCATTCACGGCTGCCAAAGCCTGGTCGGGTAGAGGGGGCCAATAGCCCCTGGCTCCTCAAGGCATTGCTGCACCATGGGTTGTCGCGAAGGTGGACAGCCAGCCTAGCCTCAGACCAGTATTGGGTGCCACAAGCAGCACAAATCGTGCCGTGGACACATGCCCTGTAGGCCGCGCGCCGGCCATGGGCCTTGAAAAGGTGGGCTCCCAGCCCACCCTTGGATTTGAATCGAGCCCTGCACATTCTACACGACCATTCCTGAGCCATAGCTTGTTGTACTCTGTTTTGACGCGTAGCAAACCGATACATCATCCAGAGGGCCACCTGGATTCTGCCCTGCTGAACATCCTGCTTGTGCCGGGCTTGCAGCATTCGTCGCAGACCTCGCTTGAAAGCCGCAGGGCTCTCCTGAATCCTCTTGACCCAAACTGGCCACGAGTCCCTCGTGACAGCAGGCCAAGTCTGGTCAAAATCTCGGAGTCTTTGCAGGTCGCCTTGAACTCGCACCATCCATATCTGCTCTTGCTGCAGCACTGCCCAAAGGATGTCTGGACCATTCGTCACCATCGCTGCCAGTAAACCCAATCGGCTTCGCACTGCAACAAGGTCCAAACTCCAACTATCAGTGAGGACATGCACCATAGGGAGCGGGATCTTCAAGAGGTTCGCACCCTTGTAGGTTGTAGCGAGCAGACGTCGGAGGCATCG